GTCTCTGTGTCTCTGTGTCTCTGTGTCTCTGTGTCTTTTTGCCTCTGTGTCTCTGTGTCTCTGTGTCGCTGTGTCGCTGTGTCTCTGTGTCTCTGTGTCTCTGTGTCTCTGTGTGTCTGTGTCTCTGTGTCGCTGTGTCTCTGTGTCTCTGTGTCTCTGTGTCTGTGTGTCTGTGTGTCTTTTTGTCTCTGTGTCTCTGTGTCTCTGTGTCGCTGTGTCGCTGTGTCTCTGTTTCTCTGTGTCTCTGTGTCTCTGTGTCTCTGTGTCTGTGTGTCTGTGTGTCTCTGTTTCTCTGTGTCTCTGTGTCTCTGTGTCTGTGTGTCTGTTGTCTGTTGTCTTGTTGCGCTTGTGTCCTGCGTGTCTGTTGTCCCTGGTGTCTGTGTGTCTGTGTCTGTGTCTGTGTGCGCATGTCCTCTGTGGATGTGTTGCCTCTCTACGTATTCGCGCGTTGTGCGTTGGGTTGTTTGTGTGTTGTGTATGGTGTATGTGTATGTGTGTGTGTGTTGTGTGTTCTATGTAATGGGTTTTGTGTGAGCGTGTGGGTTGGCGATGCGCGCCTGGTGCTGGACCACGGATAGCTCCCCATGGCCAGGGCATACGCACACACCCCACATGAAAAGACATCCGCAGCCCGTGCATCATAACTCCGTTGAGAGAACATCTCCGGTGCCATGTAGCTGGGCTTGCCACGGTGACCTGGCACGGAGGCGAATGTCTTGATGAGCCAGGGATATTGACCGTGTCCACTGTCATCTCTCTTACATGATGGCAAGTATTCGGCTTTGCTGTCATATTCGCCGAGTTCTTGTCCCATGGTCGCATGGACCCTCTCTGTGGCTTAATTGGAGAGGTGCTACAGAGCCACTTCTCATCTCAAACTCGTTTTGGGGGGGGGCGCCAAGGCTCCGGAACTTTCACATACCGAGCATGGAAGTGGGCACAGGCAACGGTGCTTGTCTTCCCAACAAACCTTGTGAGCACTTCCAAGAAATTGCTGCAAAGGGGGTAAACTTCCTGGCAAGCCACTAATCCTGCAGCGAGTGTGTAGGGGGGCAGAAGCTCGTCTCCAACTACGCCTACCAAGGATTCCCTTTGCCCCGATGCCGTTTCCATGCCCCAGTGCCCCCGTGACCCGTCCTGTCGCGTGATCCACATGATCGGTAACAGCCATCGCAAAGTCGATAAGGACCACCTGGGAACCTCGTACAAGAGCATTCTCCAGGGAAAGGTCCCCATGCGCAATCCCACGGAGATGTAGGGCACGTACTGCCTCGCGAGCCGCGCAAGATCGCGCAAGGCAGAACTGGAGCGCAAGCCAAGCAACCGGAGTTCTTTCAACCGAGCAGTAGAATGTTGTTTATGCATTTCCAGGAAAACTGGTTGCTTGGTCCATGCTTCCTTGGTTCTGGCAGTGCCAACCAAAAAGGACACCTGTGTGCGTTTCCCATGCATCCGCGCGCGTATTTTAATTTAAGCCCTCCGTTTTTTCAGGCATCCGCGAGAGCGAAAAAAGCGTCTTTTGATAAGCCCCGCGCGCGAATTGTTTATTTAAGCCCTCTCCTTTTGTCCAGTTTTTCCCATGCATCCGCGCGCGAAAGAAACCTTTTTTTGAAGCCCGGGCCTGGACCAGGGAATAGAATATTGGGTAGATCTGCTGCTCCCGCTCTGGGCCTGGCTCGCCCAGCTTCGCGGCGATGTCGAACAAATCTCCTCCTGGGAGGTATTCGCACACCAGCATGCCATCACCTGAGCTCGGTGGACGACTTGTTTGTTGCTGTTGTTGTTTAAAAGAAAAAGATGCGTGTGTGTGTGTGTGTGTGTGTGTGTGTGTGTGTGTGTGTGTGTGTGTGTGTGTGTGTGTGTGTGTGTGTGTGTGTGTGTGTGTGTGTGTGTGTGTGTGTGTGTGTGTGTGTGTGTGGTGTGTGTGGTGTGTGTGTGTTTGTGTGTGTGGTGTGTGTGTGTGTGTGTGTGTGTGTGTGTGTGTGTGTGTGTGTGTGTGTGTGTGTGTGTGTGTGTGTGTGTGTGTGTGTGTGTGTGTATATATATAATTATATATAATATACATATATGTTGCGTTTTCATTGGGGGAGAGGAATTTAGGGAGACTGGACATGTTGACCAAACCTCATGCGTTCGAAATAAGGGAAGCAGCTTCGTGCAAGCAAGCAGAGGAAGCAATTGCTTCCACTTATCATTTGCTGTGGGTTTGGGAGCCAACCACAAAGCCCTAAATTGCTGAATCACTGACAGACGTCCACATGTGTCAGTTGAGGTAACTTTGAAATTTACGAGCTGGGAGATCTTCAAGACCGCAATGCAACACTTCAATATTAGAAGTGGCAAAAGGGCAAATGCTTCTTGCCATGCCGTCCCCAAACAGTGGACGATGATCATTGACAGTTGGCGTGGTAAAAGGCACTTTGCTTGAAGTTGATGGCGGGGAGGCCAAGAAAAGTAGGACCGGGTGAGGCGAAACATTGGCTGACAGAAGCTTCTTCAGGCATCTTGGGAGGGGTGACCACCAAAACCTTTCCCCAGCTGTCAAGATATAGTTCAAGGCTCCAAAAGAATCTCTGTCAGTCAAGTCAGGTCAGTTCCGGTCAGTTCAGTTCAGGTCAGGTAAGATCAGGTCAGGTGCCATGTGAGATCAGTCAACACCGGGGTTCCGGCATGCAAATGCCTATTGTGAAGGGAGTCTCCCAGCAACCAGCCTGGAAAGTCGCGAAATTGGATGTGCATTTGGTGGCTTGAAATGCCGGAGAAGCAAGATTCAGACCACTGAGATATCAACATGTCAATCAAGAACCGCAGATCCCTGACCCGATTTTTGGAGCAGTGAACTTGCAGTGCTAGGTTGACTGCTTGACCCCGACAAGGTTCACCTGCCAAAAAAACAACACAAGGTTCACCTTCAAACAAAAATCGGAGGAACAAAAAAAACGCCTCCGAGGTTCACCTTCAAAAACAAAAAAAAAAACGCGCCTCCGAGGTTCAAACGCAAAAAAAAAGAAGCCGAGGTTCTAGAGGTTCTAAAAAAAAGCAAGCAAACCAACAAACAAACAAAGAACACATCTCTCCAGGGCGCCGCATTCCGTGCGGAAGGATCCAAAGGAGCGGCACACCCCCGGGAGCTGGTCCGGCCCCAGCCCGAAGCGCGAGAGGATCTCGATCTCCTTCCAGGGGTTCTCCACCTCTCCGGGCCAGGCCTCCTGCGCCGTGCGGGCGCGAGCGCTTTTTGGGGGGGTGTTGAAACCCCGTTTTGTTTTTTCCCTGTGAAGCACTGGGTGGTAGGGTATCTTCTTGGGTTTTAAACCTTTTTTGGTTTGAACCACTGGCGCATGTCTGGTTCAAATTGGTGCTAGGGTAACCGAATTCAAACTTTATGATTGAAACAACTTCCATGGCTTCAATCACTGCTTCAGATGGTTTTCACGCTATATGGTTTCAACCCCCTTTTGATTCTCCCCGAAAACACACCGGAAACTGCGACGCGAGCGCCTGGTAGGCCTGGGGGCTCTCCCTGAGCCGGCTCCGCGGCACGTGCTTCACCGCGACGGTGCCTCCTGGAAGACATCGTGCACGTGCCACCGAATTCAGCGGGGTATGGCTCGTCTTCTGCTTGGCTTCCCCGGAAAATGGGAGTTATGGCACAAATGGGTGTGTGAGATGTTTTGGGGCTACCCTCAAAATGGCGCAAAAGGTGTTCTGTTTGGTTTCCCCGGAAAATGGCCGGTTTCCCCTAAAAAAGGAGATACCCTCCCACCAATTTACGTGGAACCGTGCGACGTGCGGGGGATGGGTCCTGGCTTGGGGCCTAATTTCCTTTCTGGGACTGGGTCCAAAACGAACGTCGAAGGGTCCCTTCTGTGACTTGGCTGTGGTTCAAAACCAATGGTACCATTTTGGGGTAGGTGAATTCACCACCCATTTTAGAACCTATTTTAGTGGGAATTGCGATGTTCACCGGAGGGTACGGGGTTTTGACCATGGCCAATTCAGCTGGGTATGGGTCAAATCAAACCACCAGGAATTGGAACACAGGTGTTACTCCATGTTTCCATTTACCAGGGCAAGCCATTTTGGGTACCGATTTTTGACCCACAGCCAGCTTGACTTTTGAGATCTTCAGCTTGACTTCGGGGGAAGAGAAATTCAGGCGTCCCCCCCCCCCCCCGCAAAGGTGTCCATGCACTTGGACCAAAGCCAAGCTATGCAAATTTTAGATCCGTCGACTGGTCTCGCACGATCCGTTTGCAAAACTTCAGTCCTGTCATGAGGTCCAGGTGCAACTCTACCTGACCTCCGCTCCGTGCTGCCATCATGTGCACCTTCCAAAAGCGGAAGCGCTGTGCATTCCATGGCGGCAGGAGACCTCCTGGATCCAGGGCGGGTGCTAGCCACTGCGACGGCGCAGGGCTCTCTTCCGAAGCGGTCTGGAAGTCCTCATCCGAATCCGACCACGGAAGTGTCAAGGGCAGATCATATGGCGCACTCCGGGGCGTGTAGACCTCTTCTGACGGAACTTGCTGTACCCACGGCCAGGCTCTATCCAACACAGCTTGCGCGATCCTGCGGCCCCTGCACTTTCCCATACCAGTCGGTGCTTTGAGACCCGCCGACGTCTTGGGCATGGCCTAAACAGCCAAACAAAGTGCGGAGGTTCGGAACGACTAACTGGACAATGGGCCGATGATCGGCTTGGGCCCAAAATGTCAGATCAAGGAAAATCCCTTGAGCGCGCGGCAACTCTGCTCTGGGTGCCCGAACCTAACTTATCCCGTTCCTCACTGCTCTGTTAATAAAAACAAATGGGGTGATCTGAAGCGTTCCCATTTTAGGAAGCAGCCATGTTGCGCAGGAGTGGACTATATGCCGAGCAGCAACTAGCACAGATGCCACCGCCAGGATCAGGCAGAGCAGGATGCTCAATGCTTGCCTGGAATGTGGCAGGCTGAGGGCCATCAACTTTAAATCTGGCATCGCGGAAATCAACCCCTCGATACCAAATACATCAACGCCTCAGTACCGTATGAAAGAAGTCAACTCCTCCATACCTGAAGGTCACATGAGGTGCATCGAACAAGTGGCGAACAGCTTTAGTATTCTGGTTGAGCCTCGCGATGTACCCCAGGCTGCTGCTGACCTGCACTTGTGCCGGCTCGCATGGAGCCACATTGAGGCACAATCGCCAAGACCCGCACGAACCCCAAGCACAAATTCTGAAGGAGATTATGGCCTGGCATTGTCTTGCGGCAATGCTTGCTGCGTAGTAAGCGCTCGAATGCATGCTACTAACATTCCTCAAATGATAAAGATACACATTTAAATGGGTATGAATGTCAATTGGGGCCCTTTGGTGGACATCATTTAGGTGGGGATTCATGTCCTCCAATCACTTTTGAGGTGGTTCCAACTCTTAAAATTCATGGCCAAATGCCATCTGACCACCAGCCTGCTCTTCCATCTCGCCAGTGAGCAATGAGCGCTTCAGGGTGCCATGGAACTGACGCCTGCAAGCCACTCTTGAACCTGAAACCCAAATCAATGACTTCTGCTTGGAGGTTCGCAAGATCACCGACATGCACGCGGAAGCTGCGGCATTGCAATCCAACAATCCCAGCCTGGACTCTGGCTTCTCACAGGGCCTGGCATTCAGGCAATGCCACAGGCCCACTGTATTTACACTAACTAGCTCCAGCTGTTTCCACGAGTGTCTTCAAATGCTGATTGATTCATTGGGTTGCCAGTATTCTCAGTTACCATTGTACCCATGGTATCATTTTTCTATCATGGCATTGCAACCCCTTGCCTATCTGATCATAGCTCAGTCTTGTCGACTGGGGTGAGTCCCCTTGATCTCCATAGTCGAGATCTGCCTGTGGTGGTGAACAGCCAAGAACCACATGATCCAGAGCCCCATAGGGGCTCTTTGGGGTACATGCGTAAGCATACGTTCTTTAACAAAGACACGCACACACACATTGCTCATGTCGTTTCAAATCATAGCTTTGGGCTCGAATCAGACACTCAAGTACACCACATCCTTCGTGGCCGAACAGTCCTTTCGGTAGATCCATGAGGAACTGCAAGCCTTCATTTCACAACAAATTAAGTAAAGCCAGAAAACAGACAGGCTTGGTGCATCACCAATTTGTTTCAATAAGGGCAACAACCAACCTACCAGTGCGCAGTCTGAGCATGGCTACAATTCACCGAACCTCCAAGAAGCCAAACGCCATTCGGGTGGAGATTTTGCATCAAAGGCCTGCATAAGATCCTCGAATGCGAATGCAATTTGAAAACACCACGCGCTAAACCTGACATGGCGCTGAATAGCGGGGTCCGGCTCAAACATGTCCGCCGCCCCCACGCAAGGATCAAGAAAGCTGACCAGGGAAAAGTGGACTTCTGCCAACCTAGTGGGGTGACACAATGATTTTGGTGGGGACGCTCTTTCGGCAGCCCCAAAGAAGCCCCCACAAGTCACCCCGTGGTTTCGCCCACAAGTCCATGCTACATGCTTGTACCCCGTGCCTGGTGACGCAGCCGCGGCTCAGCAGCAAGCGCCGCACTTTGAGGGTCCAAGCCTTGCTCAATTGGACATTGCAGAGCCAAGGTGGCACATCCATGCCTTGCTGGTGCAATAGGTGGGGAATGAGGGAATGAACCTGGGAATTCCCTTGAAGGAAACCATAGAAGATGGTTTATAGGAGTCGTTCCCTCATTCCCTGCTCAGCACCAGCAAGACATCTCAAACGTGTTTATACGGTCCACTTTCTGGGGAAGGATCCCTCAATTGAGGCTTCCTCTGTTTGGTGGGACGCTTCCAGTGGTTTCGTGTCGTATACGATGGTGCATGGAATCAAGCTGGGCAAAACACCTGGGCACGCTGAAATGGCGTCTGAAAACAGAAAGTAACTACTAGACGGTGTCTAGCCAAATTGCTCGAGGAAAAGGACGTCCAATTGGCAAGGCTGCTCAATCATGGAGTCCCCCGATTTGAATACTGGCACCTGACGTCATCCCCAGACAAGTGGGTGGGGATCAAATATAGGCACCCTACAATAGAGCCCCGGCAAATGGAAACAAGGACTAAAACCTGCGGTCCCTGGTGGTTTAATTTTGACCCATACCCAAGTACTTCTTGCTTGGGGACCCTGCCGACAGCGCAGCACCGCACCACAGGGAGACCGATAGGACCTTGGCGACAGAGCGGTCAACCGAATGTGAACAAGAAGGACCTTACAGTTTGCAGTGGAATGTGCGCCACCATCCTCCTGACGATGTGGGAGAACCCCACATGTAGGGGGAAACCGCGATCATCGGTCAGAATTCGGGGAGTTGCTACTCCCCGGAATGGTGGTGGACAGTGGGTCAAGATTGAAACAGATGTGGCCATGGGTCAGAATCCCGTACCCCCAGTGAACATCCCACTCCTCACTAAAATCGGTTCTAAAATGGGTGGCGAATTCACCTACCCCAAAAAGGGATCCCAAAACGGTTTTGACCCACAGCCATGTTATTATTTTTCCGCGTATTGCCAGCTGAAATGCAGCTACGGGGCATAGCCCAGGAGAACTTCAGCCTGCCAATCTTCTGCGAAGACAAAGGCCACCTCGCAGCACAAGGCACTTGCCATGGCCAGGGTGCCAGGGTTTCAAATGAGGACTCAACAGCCAAATGACCAGTGACAAGCCGAAAAATGATCAATTGTCACATCTCAATCACCGCCAAATGCAGAGTCACTCGTCCAACGACCAAACGGACAAACAATGGTCAATGGTCACATCCGGTTTGTCTGGTTTGCGCAACTGGGCCTGCGCCAGGATTCCCAGCAGCGCTGGAACCAGCAGCCAAGAACTGATATGCCTCTGCGGGCGAAAGCCATGAGATCAGCTCGGATCTGAACAAGAATGCTTGGCATCTCAAAAGAGACGCCAGCAGAAAGCGGGGCACCTGACCTTTGGATTTTTTGTCCGTTGCCCCGCCTTCTCCAGGCCAGGTGAATGTCCTGAAGGGAAGCCATCTGCTTCATGAAATCTGCTTGACCCAACTGTGGAGCTAGGAACGGAGTGTCACTGGGCGCCTCCCCTCTTCAGCTTGCACTGATCAAAACTGCTGGCTGTGGAATTTGCTAGCACCGTGCCAGCCGGGCCAAGTGTTTCTCGCCGAACTGCAGCAAACCAAAGGCTTGGTGAGTGGCCCATGTCAGCTTCGTTTGGATTCACTGGCTGTCCTTGAAAAGCCAGAAGCATATTGTGAGTGCGTCTTTTATGGAGGTACCCTGTTTGGAGTGGTGAAACAAAACAAAAAACACGAAAGGGAACATCACTCTAACAAGGGGTCCCCTATTTTTACACACACCCTTACAGGCGGACAGAGGCTTCCAAGTTGGACACCTGCCCAAAAGTTGGCGGTGCCGGATGTCTCGACGTGACAGGTGCGTGGCTCGGCATGGCCCCGGCCTCCTCTCGTTCACCAGTGCCTAAGGCCAGGAAGCTTGAAGAGCTGCTTCGGACGAATCTACTCAGGGGGTGGTCCCCCTTTCAGTGGGAATTGGAATAGTACATCTCAGGGGATTCCCGATGGTCCTTAGTCAAGAGGACTTTTCTGCAGATCTTACGTTTGCTTTTGAGACTTCAACATTTCTGGGTGGAGCCGCGAGCTGACAGCTGGAGACGACTCAAAACTAAACACAAAAGAGAACAAGAAGATCAAAGCAAAGCTCGGGGAAGAACTGGAAGCCCCCAAACCACGCTGCAATTCTGAGGCGCTCACACGGCAGCACATCCGCCACATAGCCATCACGCATTAGATTGAAGATGTCGCACGCGTCCGACATGGCGGCCATGATGAGCACGGTCCGGTCTTCCCTGCAATCAATCCCCGGAGCTGTTGAGGTGCCCAAGAAGCCGCATCAACTCGCGTGTCTCAAAGTGAGAACAACAACTTGTATTCCTTCAAATCTGTCTGCCTTTGTTTCCCTTCAAAACCCCGAGTTCACCGTGCCTATCCAAAAAACAACGTACCCTCCCTGCCAACATGGCACCTGACAGGGGGTCCCTTAAAGAGGAAATTGATCTACCAGGTACCCTCCCACAGGTGCTATGCTAGTCGGAGGAAGCTTCTTTTTTTTATAAAAAGAAAAAGGAAGAAACAAATGAACAAAAAAGGGGAGGGGGAAAAAAACACCCAGGTGTTGGAAATTTGCGCACTTGAGCGCCTGCAGAAGTGGGAGCTCACCTTCTGGCCATCCAAGCGCTGCACCTCACCAGTTTCGATTCGGAGCCGTGGGAGCGTCATATGGCCATGGGCTTTTCAAAATCCAAAATTCCGTAGCCCCAGTGAGCATCCACCAATCCAACCACTAAAATCGGCTCTATGAGTGGTGCACCGAAAACACCCCAAAATGGGATCCCAATGGTTTTGACAACCACAGCCATCGCTGCACAAGCGTAGAAGAATCAAATGACCGTTCTTCATGGATTTTTCAGACGAGGCATGTGAAGACCCAGGCCGGAGAACCCAAGAATACACACTGTACAAGAGTCGATGCGGGTGCGTCTTTTTTTAGGGCCCCCCCAAAATGGTGGGTTTCCTTCTGGTTTCATTTTGGTCTTCCTTTCAAAGGCTACCCTCAAAAAATGACTCACCCATGTGCCTGATTCTCCACTCCAAATGGTCTGGAACTCTCAGCGATCTAAAAACCGAGCCTCCACCTCCCGAAGGAAACGCCCCTGACCGGCAGTAAGCAACTGTGAAGGTGACCCGAAATTGGCGCAAGTCGGAGAAGTTGCCAGCTGCAGAAAATTGAGCGCTGAGTGCCCAAAAGCTTTGATATCCCTCCACTCACAATAGTGCCCGCTGCAGGCATCTTGCCGTTGGACGGCATTTCATCTTGCCGCAAACAGCTGGTTGGGCCTAGTTTTCCAGGTTCCAGCTTATCCACTTGGCGCAGGGAGCCTGAAAGCGCAGTTGAATGCCCGCTGCGATTATTATGTTGTAAAACTGGCAAACGGTTTCTTCTTCGCCCGGGCTTTCGTTTCAGTTTAGACATGCTTCGCTGGTGGTTCGGAAGAGCAGTGGGCGCGCCCTCCAACATGCCACCCGTTTCACTGCGCAACGCGCGTGGTTGCCAATCGGTAAATGCGCACTGCTCATACATACCGCAGCCATCCCATGGTCGCGCCCTCCAACATGACGCGTGCACCCGTTCCTCGATTTGTTTGTCTGATTCGCGGATGGTGCATCGGCTCAGTTGTCGTGTCACGCATCCCGGATACTCAGCTCGTAGAAGATGACAACGACCCAGGCAAACCCCTGTATATATATATATATATATATTATGTATACATTCTAAACATGTTGCCAGGCTGTGCAAGCTTTCATGACTCCAGTCATGTCGTCCTTCAAACCTAGAGCTCTGGCCTGGGTGTCAGGGTCCACTCGCAGGACCTGCACGTGCGCTGCGCTGCCATCCTACTTCTTGGCGATGATTCAGCAAACTGACTTGGCACCTGTGGTTTTGTGGCGGTGAAGCAGGCTTATGAAGTCGTCCCCTGTTTTTACACGCTACTTAAAAGGATCCAAAAGGAGAAAAGAGGTTACAATAGGTTTCCGCAAGAGCAATGGAAGATTGTGCAGAGCCAGCAGTCTGCAGCGGTACGACATGTCGGAGAGGCTCTGCTGCGGATTTTCTCCCGACTCCAGAAAGCCACTAATGAGCCATGGCCCCTTTCCTGTCGTTAGGGAGTATCCCTGCGATCCTTACCGTGAAATTTGGGTATGGGTCAGAATTGCACCACCAAGCGACCGCGTGTTTGAGTCAATGTTTCCATTGACCAAGGATTTGACCTATTTTGGGTACCCATTTTAGAAACAAATGCTTACCATTTTGGGTACCCGCGTGTTTTGGGTACCATGGGTACCCTTTTTTTTGACCCATACCCATTTCTTCGAAGCGACGTGCGCTTTCAGCTTGCGATTCGATTCGATCGTGGCCTCAAGGCCCCTCTGGCCAAGTAGGCGGTCCCACGTATTCAGCAGCCCCTCCTGCCAACCAAAAGCTGCAGCTGCTTTTTGGCCCCGCATGGGATGGGCAAAACGAGTTGTGGCACTGATTTTGGGAAGCTCCGTTTGCTTCCCAATTCCAACTATCCGTCGTCTCTGGTCATGTCAGGAAATACTGTTCCTTGCCCCCGGGCCACGCAGCATTCGCCTGGCAGCGAATGCTAGACAGGATTCCAGGAGAGGCGGGGAGGGGATGAACCATCCCCGGCAAAAACCCGGATGGCTGCGGCTTGTAAAGAAAAGAACATCAGCTCTCGTCAGAGTATCAATGAGGCCAGGAAGTTCTCGAACAAACCGAAACGCGGATAAGGCTCCAAGACGATCAGCTTGAGTCGCATAGTCACTTCAAACAACTTACTCGTTGGGCCCACTGAGTATTTCTCTTAACAAGTCTTACTTAGATGCTCAGGGTGCTTCGACATCGGTTGATCGTTGGGGTGCAAACTAACATGGGGCCAGCTGCATCATCGGCACAATTGGCGCTGAGAAGTCATGCCAGTATTCGGGGTCTGGTCTTTGACACCTGATTCTTTTAAATTTGGGCCCGTCTCTGGAGGCTGCAAGCAGCTTCGAAGTCGCTGACGTTGCTAGTGCAGGCACATTGGACTCGGGGGAGCAGGTGCTGCACACCCTAGATCGGCCTGGGATGCTGGGTGTTGCCTGACCCGTAAAAAATGCCTCGTCACTTCGGCCTGAGGAGTAAATCGCCGCGCCAATTCCTTCCCCCCCCGCCTCTCTCAAGGCGGCCAAAGCCGACCGGCCCTGGCTCCAGCTGACACCAAACTCTTTCCCAGGAGGAGGGGTTGTAACCACCACAATATCTGTCATTGTTACCACTCCTGCTGCTTTCCCCTGGCAGACTTCCAGCAAGCTGCCGCCGTTCCGCCTTCAGGCGGCTGCGCAAGTACCAGGAGAAGGCCTCACGCTGCGAGTCCTGGCACTGGCCATGGGCCGGGTGAGCGCAGTACGTTTCAAGTGGCAGTTGCCCTAAAAGTATCCAGCATCATGGACAAGGGACTCCAACTAACGTGGCACCTGACAGGGGCTCCCTTCAAAAGGAAATGAATCTTCCAGGTACCTCCCCACAGGTGCCAAGGTAGTTGGAGGAAGGGCAGGCAGATTGCACATTAACATTCCTGGATGGCTTGCTGCAAACTCAGAACTCCGAGGTCTTTGAGGCTCATCCCCACTCCTCCAAGGGACCCTGGGCCCTCTGCGCGGCGCCCTCCTGAGAAGCAAGTGTCACGCACTGCTCAACTTGCCCTGCACTTGTTGGCGAACTTTCTGTGACCTTTCCATTCTCCAACAGTCGTCCTTCTCAAAAGTCGGAATTTTGGGCCAATCCAGTTGAGGTTGAGTCCGGTCTGATTTGCTTGCAGCGCCAGGCCATTTCAAGTTGCCCCCTTTGGGCATGCGCCAACGCTTAAAATATTCAAGACACCCTTCAGGGCTTGCCAGGAACTGATGGGGAAACCAAAAGATCCAAAACAACAAAGGGGCAACCAGCAAGCTGCAAGCCAAAGGGCAACCGGCTTAACCACTAGGCCCTGCCTCCAGCCCCAGCTCCTTCAACAGCTCGGAGGCCTGCGCGCGAGAGACTCGCTCCAGCCACTTTCGTCTTGTGGCCATCGTTTGTGGAAACATTAGAGGAGGCGTAGGGTTCTGGTGCCCCCTCCCTTTACCAACAGCAGGCATGGCTCCTTTTGTGTTTGCCCATTTCATGGTGCAAGCATTGTAAGGGACATAAGTAACTTGTCCTGAAATGGTACACAAAAGACCGGTCCACCCCTCGAGTGACGAAATGACTTTCGAAACATGGTGGACAATATTATTGGTCGCGGTCAGGGGCCAAAACCTTCAGATTCAATGGAGCTTACAGATCGAATGAGGCCAAGTCATCTGGGATGATATCCGTTTCGCACCACTTTGAAACCATGGTTGAAACCATAACGTTGGTTGGTATTTCCAGGGGAGTCGAATCAGAAACCAGGGTTAGGTGGTGCGAAATGGATTTCGCGTCCATCCACAGTCATTCCTCTTAAAAACATATCTGGGTGAATGATCATATTTCACCAACCTGAAACTTGCGGTGGTTGGGGGGCTATTCCCCACATAAACCACAATTCAGGGTGAATTCGGGTGAGGTCGTTCTAGCTCACCCAGATCTATGGCCATCTCTGGCCCTCTGAGCCAAGAGCCCGGCCTCGGGATCCCGCGGGCGCAGCGGCTCGAAGCAGCGGTCGCAGGGCTCCGCCGCCTCGCGAAGGAAAAAACGCGAGGCGCGGTGGGCGGGCGGTGCGCAGCGCCTCGTTTGGCCAGTTTTCTCGTGGACTACGGGGGGCCATGGGCAGGGACTATCCCAGGAGCCAGGGACAAGCGAGGTCAGGTAACTCCCAAATTGGAGGCTTGGCTTGGTTTGGGTATTTGGATTTGGATTTTTGAAGCCCTGGCTCTTGTAGAGGGGTAAATGGAAAGCCACTCCACTTCACCACCAAACCACCAATCCAAACCACCAATTGGAAGGAAGCTGATAAGGGGGGCCATGGGGGGGAGGGAATATCCCAGGACAAGATAAGCCAAGGATAAGCCCTTAATAAGGCCTTCAGGGCTTGAAAAAACATAGGGATAGCCCCCCCCTCCCCAGTTCGCCCCCCTTAGGAACACCATGAAAAAGAAAAAATATATCAGCAAACGCCAAGAGCTTGCGTCTTCTGATTCCTGGCACTGCTGAAGCCCAACACTAAGCGCACCCATAGGAAGGCGGATCGCAGCGGACTCACTATTCCACTTGTTATTTGAACCCAGCGGCCCAGTGGATTGATTTCCATGGGAAACAAAAACCTCGGCATCCTTTTTTGGCTGAGTTTAAGGGAATCGGAACCCTTCCAAAAAGATAATACCAAAAGGTCGGAATCCACTGGGCAACTGGGCTTGGATGTCCTGGTCGAGTCTCGCCTCTGGATCAACTTGTGCCAAGTCCGCCGCCACTGGGTAGTCGTGCTTCTTCGCCAGTTCCTGTACACAAGCGAAGACTACCCCCGCGAAGCGCAGCGTTGGGAAAGTTTCGGGCACGCCTCAAGCACTGCCTCGCTCGCCGAGATCAGGGCATAGATATACCTGAGCAAAGGACTAGCTGATGGCATCACAAAAAGTGAAATAGACATCCATAGACATCCAGGGTTCCACTTTTTGACTACCCCCACAACGACTTCAAGGGGTGAAGTCTACTCAACAACATAGAACTCTGCAGCATCAAGTTGGAATGCATCTACAGTACAAGGGCCGAGCCTGAAGTCGTTGGAAAAGGTCAATTCCACCACTAGCCCCATGCCTCAGCAAAAAATCAAAAAGAATACGAGCAATGCCGAAGCCGACTAAATCGCTCTTGTTGGAGATGTGCATTGATTCTTGCAATGGCCACTCCTCAAAATCGTGCATCCTGCTTGGGGGGGTTCGCTTCAAAGGAAACCCGTCTCTCGAATTCGCCATCACCGGCACCGTGTTCGAGTGCGAGAACCAGCCTGACATCTTCCGGAACGCCTTCCTTTAACCTGGCTTCATTATTTTACCACGATCAAAGTCACCCCCTAAGTGGTGGGTTAAAGGAAAATAACCACATTTCCTGACTGTGATAACCCCCAGAAATCGTCAAAATAATGACCCCAGTTAGCGATGCAACTGTGAAATTCTGGGACAGCTGCTGGCCAAAAGCCCGACCACGGAGTTCCGGATCAATGACCTGAGCTCGAAGCGTCAGCTTCTCTCTGGAAAGCTCGCAGATGTCCCAGTCCTTTCCGGAAAACTCCGCCCCACTACCAAACAGAAGGCAACTCCCTGTTGCGCTGAGTGGCCACCCAAAACAAGATAAGTAGAGTTTGGGATATGTAGTCCTAAGTACATCACAAGGTGACCGTGCTGGTTGCCCGTGCCTCAAAAAGGAACAGCAGGGACGGCATGCACAGCATGGCTGAGGACAAGGCAGCAGATCTGTAGAGCCAGACAGGTTCGGATCCAAGGTGTGCTTATATGATGTGCCTCAGGGAGGGAGGCAGGGAGGGGAGGGGAGGGGAGGGGAGGAGAGGGGAGGGGAGGGGAGGGAGGGAGGGAGGGGAGGGGAGGGAAAGAGAGAGAGAGAGAAGAGAAGAGAGAGAGAGAGAGAGAGAGAGAGAGAGAGAGAGAGAGAGAGAGAGAGAGAGAGAGAGCGGGAGCACAAAGGTGACAAACGCAGCACGCCTTGCCTGCGCTACTCAACTGGTCCGGCTGGAGGTCCTCCTCTCTCGAACGGGCACCTGTGCATCCCGCTTAGGTCGGTTTTCTGAAGGACCAAAGACAAGTTTGGGTTTGCGCAGCCAGTCAATCCCTGCCTGGCGATCGCCCAGAATCCTTGGCAGGCAACCCCCCGTAGTGAAGTGGTGGCACATTGGATTGCGGAAAATGGCACAATGCCTTAAGTCATCCCTATCCCTGCGCAGTTTCACTCCAGCGTCACGATTTTTGCTGACGCGATAATTAAAGTCGCGCGATGTCGACATGAAGCGGCGCGCAAGCTGAAGTATCTGCCTCTTTGAATTCGTCAAGAGGCCCAAGAATTGCTTGCCCCTGTTTGTCCAGAGTCTGAGCACCGCTCCACTCGTCGGAAGCTCCCTCCGTAACTCAGGCAACCTCGAAAGCGCCGTGAGAGCGAGCAGAAAGGCTGAAATGCCAAGGCGCCGCTCCACTGCTTGCGCGACGGTCTCTAGCATGGCAATCCTTAAACACCTGCTATATGTATCATTTGGCTGTCACTTTTTTAGGTGAACATGGAAGCGTCCCGCCAAACCTGCCAAGAGTATCACATGTGCGCTAATTTGGGTGATAGAGGTCAGAACCTGCGAGGTTTTCTGCGCATCCCAAGTTGGTGAGCCTTCGTGTGGACGTCACAACTGGGCATGGGTTCTTTGTAGCCCCTGGTCCAAACTCTGAAGTACTGACAGAGCTCACTGATGGACTGAGCGGGGCAGGTGATTATCGGCTTGCGCAAAAGGAATATGGAATATGTGGCATCCGCCTTTTCTGAACAGGCGGAAAGCAACAAAATGAAAGCAGCGACACAGCTTCATCATAATTTCACAAAAAACCAGGGCCCTTTAGTCGCCTGATTCAATTGGGTGTGGCTCAAAATTAAACAGGAGGGGTTACGCAGGTTTTGGCCTTTTGGTTTCCACTTACCAGGGTTCCATTTTGATACCGGTTTTTTGAGCCACAGCCAATTCATTGCGAGCCTATCGGCGCTCTTTTTTGGGACGCCCTCGGCGCACTGGGAATGAGGCGCAATTGTCGGTCTCTCTCCACCTCTGTGACCTAAGGTCAGCAAGGACCAGCAGGGGCCCCAAACCTCCGGGTCAGCCTTCAAGAAACCTCATGAGTCGCTGTAGTTGGGAGGTGGGGCTACGGAACATCTGCATTGAGCTGCTCAAGATCGGAAAATGAACCTCCCAAACCCGGGCGGCAATAGGGAGCAGGCCGAGAAGTGGTTCTCTTTCTTGAATTCGAGCCCAAACCCCCCCTTGGTCAGGCCGATTCAGTCTCACCGAGGCAGCTACTATCCGCCCAGACTCTGCCTTTGGAATTCCTGCAGAGACCAAGCTCACCTCATGTGGTACCCCAGATTTCTTGAGACCATGCTAACCCCGTGGGATCCGGATTTCGCGTTTGGGGGATGCCCTCGCATGCTCATTGAAATTGCCGGCGGCTGGGTAGACCAATCTATGCACAGAAACGCATGCAACCGTCCCACCTTGGCTGTTCAACGGTTTACTTCTTAAGCACACAGTCATCCTCACGGTCTAACCCCCAAAGCAGCCTGTCGTAGCACGTCCAGGCCAATCTCCCTGGCACTCGAAAGACGAGGCAAAGATGTGCTAGAGCTTCCGAACAAAAAAGCGGTAGCTTCATCCATGAGCGGCCTATTCATAAATGCCCCCTATTGATAAATATGCTTTCCCAAACCCCGCTGCCAATACTAAAAAAGAATTATATAGTCAACACAACCAGCAAATTTTCCGCCCAAACTTTAGTACCAATATTAAACAAATTGAAAACCGATACCAAATCCAGTACAAACCACTGTGGAACCAGCGCTATGACGAAAACCGACATTGATTGCTGCAATCTCCGTACTTGGTTGCCATTTTGAGCAGGATCGCGGGACCCCTATGAACATTCTTCCACTCGGAGAATATGGCTGTGGGTCAAAACCGTTTTGGGATCCCATTTTGGGGTAGGTGAATTCACCACCCATTCTAGGCTTCCTATTTTAGTGGTTGGATTGGTTGATCTTCACTCGGGCTACGATTGGGCTTTGGCTTTTGAAAAGCCGGCCATATCGGGCTGTTGGAGTGGATCAACATGGATGCTCCAGCAAGCGCTCCTTGGAGGATTCGGTCAACTGAGTCATGATCAAAACCCACTAATAGAATGGTCGATCGGGACCATGCTTCAAGAATTAAGAAGGCGGAGATCCGCAGCCATTTTTTCTTGCTTGGGACTATCCCTTACCTAACCATCTACCCGGGTTTTGAGCAAGTGGCTCAACTGACATCTGGGGTTCGGAAAGTGAATGGTGTCTTTTTGTTAGGGGACCCTCCTAAAAAATATTGTGTGTAGGGAACCCTCAAAAGTACTGTATGGTCTCCCATTAAAAGAGATCAACTCAAGCAAATCGCCACGGCCATGCTGCTCAATTTTGCGAAATGTGAATGTCATCCTTGCACAGCGCCTGTTGCCCGAGAACCCCGATTTGCAACAGCCCAGTTGTGTCTCAACCATGGTAAACCATGGCCCTCCAAGTCAAAAGCCAGCTTGCAATTTCCCCCATCCACCTCCCCCCCAAAAAAAAACAGAAGTCAAGAAATCCGATCAGCACACCTCAAAGGCCCATCCAAAAAATTAGGCCACCGCCCCCACTCCCCAAAAAAAAAAACGCAGCCGTGCCTTGCGCCCGTAGGGCCTCAGCTCCCGGAAGGCTTCCAAGAAGGCCTCCTGCCAGCGCTCACGCATCGGGGTGGGACGTCCCTGGGTTGAAATGGAGAAAACCCGACCCAAACAAAAAGCCGAAATGGGGAAAAAGACAAATAAATTGGAAAATGTGAGATACCACAATTAATAAAAGTAACAATGAAACTGGAGAAAAACTTGCGATCGGCGCGAAATCTGTAGGGAACGTGGTTGAATGAACCCAGGGATTCCCCAATAAAGGAAACCACCCGTTGGATGGTTTATAAGGGTCATTCCATTTCTCATTCCCTGCCTATCGCACCAGCAAGAAAACCCCACGTAGGCCAGCCAAAATCGAAATGCCGGTCATCCGCTGATCAAAGGTGGACGCCAGAAACAAATGAAATTGAAATGAACGAATTGTTAGTTGGACACTTTCATGAAGCGCATGGACAGCTTTCCTGCTTCACAGCATCAAGTTGCCCCCAAAGACCTTGGTGTCGCATATGCAAAGTATGTGTGACATCTGCGTGTTCTGTTTTTGTCGTCTCCCCAGCATGGCAAAGGATTCTTGTTTGCAAAGGATGCTCCTCTGAGGGTCTCCTGGTTGCATGTCATCACATGTTCCTGTCACCCTTGCATGTATTGCATGCAATCACGTCCCTCTGTGTGCGTGTGTGTGTGTGTGTCCCTATGCAAATGTGTATTACAAACCACACGTAGCGCGGGTGCATGCGCTGTGCTTCATTCAGTATGCAAACGCTGATGTCCTAGCTTAATCTTCAACATCGCACTTGGGTGCAGGCGATTTCCAAAGCTCATAAACTAGCAGTACGCTATCGTCTGGCAAAGCGAATCACGCATGCTGTAGTGAAATAGTTGTCCGTGTGGCACGCAACACATGCAAGCGCTTGCCTAAGTCTCATGTTGCATCATGACCTGCTCCCTGGCCAAAAAACAAAACGATTTCTGAAGCTCAACTGTACAACCAGAAACCTAAAGAACAAAACATCAAATGGGTGGCTTGGGTCAAGAGGTGTGAAATAGCACAAGCCCATGATGCGCGAGATGGGGCATAAGTTTAGAGACGGGGGGAAGCACAAAACAGTTTTGCAGCTGCCACTTGCGGTGATCTGGCCAAGTCCTTTCGCGCCTCCCGCTCCGACTTCGAGGTCCCCCGCAAGGCGTCGTGGTAGACTCGCCGGGCTTCCCTGAGGCCGACTCCTCGGACCTGATTTTCCGGCGGACCTCGTGGGATCGACCCTCCCGTGGCCCATGTGACAGGCGTCCCAAGTTTGGGCGAGCTGGGGTGAGGCTTTTAAAAGGTGTTAGACCCATTTTTTGGTGTTAGCCTTTTAAACATGCAAAAACTACTCCCAACAACTAAGATGGTATGGCTCGCGCAAAATGAAGCAGGAATTGGACCAAGCTTAAGTCCTTGGTTCCATTTACCTGGTAGCCTGGTACCCCACATGGCCCATGTGGCCATCATAGGTGTCCATTTCTTGGTTAGTTTGGTGGGAAAATAGTTTTCCACCTACAGACCAGGGGCCCATTGCAGAAAACATGTTGCTTTATGTTAATTGGAGGGAGGGTATTTAACCTGGTGTTAACCCAACGGTATTAAAATGGGTCTAACACCTGGTATTAAAACCTGGTATTAAAAGGTTGAAACCAAAAAATGAGTCATGATCAAAACCGCTCGGTAATGACATGGTCGATCCCCGGAACCATGTACTGTAAGGACTTCAAAAGGCGGCGACGGCACCAATTTATGCTGGGGATTATCCCTTACTAACCTTCATCTACCCAGGGTTTTCATTGTGGCTCACCTCCGTTTGAAAGGAGCGAAATAAAACGCAGGAAGGCTCCCCGGAATGGGACAACCCCTTGCGCGGATATTTGTATTCTGTGTTCGGCATATTGAAACTGGTAAGGTAAGTTGTTGTGTCCTTCTAAACGACCTTTCCGCCGACGTCTGTTGGAAAGTGGAGATGCATGAGAAGCTCTGAAAATGGCAATTCAGACCTCGACCTGTATCTGGAGCATGAGATTGGGATGTTGGAAGGGATGCTGGGGGCGTTCCGCCCCTGCAGCCTTCATTGCTGACAGCTCCTTTCTTTATGTTTACACTGGATCTGATTGTTAAGTTAGACAGTGGTGCCTGCGCTGCCGTACATCGATCTGGGAAGCAAATGGCTTGGCGCACCTTCTGGGGCTCGACTCCCAAAACAGCCTTCAATGGGGGGCGTCTGGGGATGCTTGGGATGCCGGCCATTCCGGTTTTGTTACCAAATAAAGAATCGGATTGACACCTTTGGCGGTGGCGCCTGCGTTATTTTACACCGTTCTTGGGCCTTAACTGAATACACGCAGTACCCAAGACTGTCTACGTTGTTCCTACATCAACTGACCGGAAACGTCTTTTCAAGGCTTCAATGCAATTTTCATGTTACACCCACTTCAGCCGACAGGGATGTGCTACTAGTGCTTTGGAAGTGCTGAACGCTGGGCCTCGCATGAGCAAAGCCAAAGGGCCTAGGCATGTGATTGGCTGAGCAGCTGCGTCTAGCTGGCTCTCTGGCTGCCCAGCTAGCATCTTGTTGCTGGCGCAGCTGATGTTTTCTGTTTCTCATCCCATAACCATTACCACTCACAATCATGGTACGTCTGCACTCATTTTGCAAAGTGTCGAAAAGAGTGTCACTGAGCCAATTTCAGTTGACAACTAGAGCACCCTGGGTTGCTGGCCACAAACATGTTCGAGAAAATGTACTTCTTTCATATCCAAGCAGACTGTACGGCCTGGCTCATCCGTTGTTAGCAACACCAGGGTTGCATATCTTTGGCACCTGAAACGCAGAATCCCATGAGGCAACGTTCACCTCACACATAGGTTATCGTATAACCAGAGTTTCATCAGGCAAAGCCGGGCGTAGTTCGATGTTGATACCACCAATGAGGCGAGCAAGCGTCCAACCAGCAACAAGCCAATGGTCGAGTTGCCAGCTGCCAGCTCAAGCCACTCCGGACGAACTAAGGCTGGCGGGCTTGATTCAGATCCGCAACTTAATCGTAATAGAACGCGACCAAAAAAACGGCCGAAACCAGATAGTCTTAGCAAGAAGCGTCAATTGTTTTGAGGAAAGTATATGGCCCTTGTTTCAACTTGTTACCGCACTGGCTGGAGTGCAGTGGTTAATAACTGCAGTGTTTGAGATCGCTGCTTGGGTGAAATATGAAGAATATACGAGTAAATCCAATAGGAACCTTGGGAAATATCTTACTGGTCGGGATGTAAGTGGAAGTGATGCAAGTATGATTAATAATGTGTTTGGAGCATTCATAACATGAATAGACACTAGTCTTTGAGAAACACATGTCAAAATGTAAAAAGGATGCAATGTATTAGTTGTTACATTTATTGCATCAATTAATCCATTGTGTGCAATGATTATATATGTATGTGTGTTCAACAATACTTACAAATATCCTATATATATATATATATGTTAAAAAAAGGAGGGAGAAAAAAAAGTGTCTCGGCAAGCCAGCATGTATAATTTGCGCACGCCAGCTTCTTTACTTCTTTTAACCAAATGAACCTCCTAAAAGGGGCCGCCTGTGACAATACGTTGTTGATCAAAAGGTCCGCGATACATGACCATTGGTTGGACAACCACTAAAAAGATCTGTCTTTTGTCACCACATGGAAACAGTTACTCATGGTCAAAACTGGGGGAAGAACGGAACATTGATCAACCCATAAGGCGGTAGTTTCTGTGACAAACTTCTCGCCCGGCCTTCAGGCCAGCGTCCACGCCGCAAAGGCCTCGGCCCGAAGGAAAACGTCGTTGGAGTTGGTACCCGGTTTTTTGGGGTCGGTTTTTATGGGAAGCCAAAGGGAAAACCACCCGGTTTTTTGGGGGTCCCCTATCTTAAGACACGTGCAAATGGTAGCGCATCATGCAAACGTCGATGTTTCTTCATGTGTCATGTCCTCCAAACACCTTGGTCAGAGGCTTGGACAAATGTGCGGTCAACCAGAAGGCCTTGCTCTATCAAATCTCAAAAATAACACATCTTCATGCGGCGTCCTGCGCCATCCAAATCCAACCTGGAATCAATGGGTCTTCCGCTGAGGCTGCTGCTTGACATGCAGCGCCCCCTGCCGCAACAACCTTAAGCATGTGGATTCGAGGCGGGACAGCTGGAAAACAAGATTGAGGAGCGCCTGTGGCCTGTTCATGGCTGTTGGCCATGAAGAGTTGTTGCCGCTCCCGCCATGGTGACTGCAACTCCAATAGCGGTTGTGGTTGTTGGAGTGTGGCAATGGCAGCAGTGCTTGCCTTCTGCCGCTTGGCTTTTGCTGCTCTTTTTTCGGTTGTTCTTGCATGACCCGATGCTGGCTTTCTGGTAACGCGTATCATTGCTAGCCATTGTGTGGTACTTTGTCGACGTTTGCTGTTGCATGGCTTCAGGCTTTGTTTTGCGCCCTGAACAAAACATGAATCGTGGCCGGCCTCCACCGGTGGCTATCACCTAAACTTGCCATGCGAGGAAGGGAATCGTGCGCCACTCTTTGAGCGCAAAGGCTCCTCTGTTGCATTCGACGGAGGATAACCTCCATGAACTGATCTCAAGGTGCGACCCGAACACAAACCCAATGGGGAGATGTGCAGCACTGAAACCCCCCCACATGATGGGACTCTCCACTCTCACCTGGTTTCCGACCGAACCCATCCCCACCCCACCCCACCCCACGGCCCTCCCCTGCACCTTGCCTCTAGCTTCCTCAAAGTCCGGGTTGGGAAAGACTACTGCAAGGTCGAAGCCCAAAGCTTTGCTCCACCTGCGGAAACATGAAAAATCTCAGCTCCCAAAGAGTGTGCAACTCGTTGAAAATGAAAGGGCCGTACCGGCCTTTTCAGTGCTGTGGTTATGTCAAAGCAAAACTCCGCGCAACTGCGACTCGAGATCTGGAGATTGAACCCAACCTGAGGCCTGGGCAACTCCCGCCGCTCCTAGCCACATCTCTGTCGCACGAGTCAGATCAGCTGAGAAAGGCTCAAGAGCGCGACACTTCGGTCAGAGCTATAAGGGGAGAAGTTTACATAAGACTTCCAAATCCAAGAAATAAGTGTCTTCGATGTATGCAAAGATGTGAAACTCTTCAGGGTGCGGAACAGTAGTCAGTCCTTTCCGTTCATCAGGCAACGAGTGGCAGCGGGCAACCCGCTCCTGCTCTTGCAATGGTCGCACGCGCCCTTTGAAGAGGTCCTGGGAGGCACAGAGCACACAGGCATGGGGAAATTGGCGACGCAATTGGCAACTTCTCTCATGTTGACAAATCGGGCATTGCAAAACCACCTGCAACACCTGGTGAAGACTGTGAAAGGGAAACATCCACATCCGCATCGGTGGCCAGCCTGTCTGAACCCTTGTGCTTTGGGAGTTCAACCCCTGGTTCTGCATTAAACTAAAAGAAAAACACCAACAAACCTCCAAACCACCCACCCTAACAAGTGAGGTCATCTGAACATACGTATAGGGCCGGTCAAGGGCAACGTGTTCCGTCTATCAGTGGCGCAACGTGCCAGATCCGGCTGGCTAAACACTGCAAGAGAGCTCTTTCACATGTCACATCGGATTGCTTAAGCACGACACGGCTCAAATCAATCCTACACCCAACCAAATACAGCACACACAAACATCCAACACCACCCAACAACACCCCAACAAATTGAACTATCACACATCTATCACACAAGACAACACCACGACACCGGCAAAAAACACCCGTAACAACAGCACCTGAGACTCGGGGGCCAATCCAAGGTCTACAAATTGTACATCTCCAGAACCCGGAAAAAAAAAATCTCCCCAAGTCAACGGCACATCTTTTCGGCTTGACCGCTCGTTCCCTCGCTTTTGTCACGGCCCCCTGATCTTTCGGAGCTCGCGCGAGCGTCGGGCCGGAGCTCCTGCAGCGGAGCCTCTCTTGGGCTAGGCTTCTGCGCCCTCTTTGGCCTTTGCGCCAGGTCCTGACAGCGAAGCTTTCAGCGAAGCTTTCAGCGGAAGCCCAAGGGAGCTGCAGGCGAGGTCGGGTTACTTGCGAGTGGAGGTAGGGAAGGTGACATGGAATGGAGGGTCCCCTGTCAAGATGGGTCATGTGTTTTTTTTATTCTTAAAAAAAAAAAAAAAAAAAAAAAAAAAATTTGCGAGAGGTAGGGAATGTGAAATGCAATGAACCCAGGAATTGGTCCCCTTTCAGGAAACCCACCAGTTGGATGGTTTATAAGGGTCATTCCATGTCTCATTCCCTGCTAAGCACCACCAAGTTGTTTGATTTTCTTCTGGGGGCAGCTGTTGTTGGTCGGTTTTAAAGAGAAATGCAAAGGAAACGTTCTGGGGGTAGCTGTTTTCGGTTGGTTTTTGTCCAGTGAAACCAGAAGGACAAGCGCGAAGCCATTTGGCCATGGGTCAAAACCCCGGAAACCTCCCAGTGAACATCCCCACTCAAATAGGTTCTAGAATGGGTGGTGAATTCACCTGTCCCAAAATGGGATCCCGAAACGGTTTTGAACCATGGCCATTTTGGGGGGGTCAGAGGCTGGACTCCGAGTCAGGACTTCGGGTCCCTCGCTGATCTTTGCTTCCGGCCCCAACTTGGTGCGACCGACGCCCAGGTGCCAACCAGCCGGCTCGGCCAAGAGTTCACTTCAGCCGGCTCGGGTGCAGAGAAGGACTCCGCCAGTTTCACCATGTTAACCCCGGATTAAGCAGAACCCCTGGTTGATTCATAGGGGGGTGTCCCTTTTTAGTGGGGATTCAGACCGCTTTTGGAGGGAACACCCCCCTAATAATGGGACGGGTTTGTTAATCCTGGGTCCGGGTCAACATTACAGTCCCAGCCTCTCTCCCCCCGCCCCTCCCCCAGTTGAAGGTTAGTGGC